CACACACACACAGACACACACATACACACCAACAACACCACCGTCTTTCGTCTGAACGCGACTGTTGTGGTGGCACTGACAGCCGGACAGAGAAAAACACAGAAAAATGACACCGATGACAACGGAACAAGTCGAGAGAGTAGAGAGAGAGGTTATGAAGTACGCAATAGAGGGAATCCACTACGACAACGAGGACAGCGTACTTAGACACAAGGGTTGACATTCAACGGGCACTGGCAGCAAATTGAGACAGGTCAATGAGAGCACAACAGTTGTTGCTGCGCTTAAATCAAAATGCATACGTGGATGACGACCACACCATGGCATCTTGCTCTGCGAACACGCTTCACCAAGTCGTGGATTGGATGTGCAACGACCATGACATCGACATGAGCAAAAGAGATGGAGGCGGTTCGTACGACACATCAGCGTTCAAGAAGTTTGTGAGATCTCAGGCAAGAGAAAGTCAAATGTTGAAGACAGGGGGTGGTGACGAATTAAAGCCGAATGCAGCGGAGATATTGGCACTGAGCAAGATGAACGAGGTCCCTCAAAGAGATCCTATTGACTACCATGAACTGGCAACAATAGTGGTGGACGGTGTCGAGTATGTGCTACTAGACCAGATTGTTGACTTTATGAAGAGTGGAGGCGAGGACAAAAATCTCATTCATGAGGCGTTGCACGAGGTGACGGAGGAGACAATAGCAGCAGCACAGGTTGTCGATGTTGAGTGCGTAAAGGATCGCACACTCGACCTTGTATCGGGGACTCCTGTGTCCCGGTGGAACATATTCGAAGTTGTAGAGGAGCTGACCGTGGCATCGACGGATGTGGACAGGAGGAGGAAGAGAAAGTGCGGATGGCAAATGCTTGTTGCAGAACACGACACCGCAAGGACACACACAACAGACACGACAGTGCAGGACACAGGTGGCACAGTATCTCTGGCGGATGTCAGGACCGTGTTGAAGAATCCTGCTGCGAATTCAGCGACTGTGCATGGCGGATTCAGAGAGTGGACATTGCCACCCAGACATCCTTCACGTGACTTTAATGAAGGACTCGAACAAGCATCGCAACAGGAAGATGATGTGGAGGTTCCTTGTGATGAGAAGGGCGATGCACAGACAGGACCGCAACAAGAAAACCCGACATCATCGGAGTCGGGAAAGAGCGTCAGTGAAAACAAAGGCGACGAGGTGGGCGAGGAGTACGATCCTTATTGGGACGTAAAGCGAGGTGGTGGTCAGGGGTCAAAAGGGTGGTGTCATGCAATTTTGAGGTTGGCGCGTGTTTTCTCGAAACCGCATCCGTTGATACATGTTGTGGACAAGGTGGCAACACCGGACGGGCGTCTGCACTTCGCAGCAATTAAAACAATTATGTCATGCATGGAAAACGGCAAACGTTGGGCTAAGACAACAAAATCATGGTTTATTCTCATACACAAGGAGGCCATTCTGACGACGTCGCTATCATGGGGTGTGAACCTCAGTTGCGTCATACATGGAGCAGTTGCCACTGCATGCGGCGGGACCGTGCACCCCTCAATGTGAACAGCGGCAGCAATTATACATGCACAACCAACACTCTGTCTCATTGGCACGAAAGACAATAATATCGATGCTGCTATGGACATACGCCAAACATCCGAGGAACAATCGAAACGGAAAAAAAATATAGGGCTCTCTCTCTCTCTCTCTCTCTCTCTCTCTCTCTCTCTCTCTCTCTCTCTCTCTCTC